TGTTAACAGTTTCATTTCTAAGTCAGAGGTCAGAGCTCTGAAGAGAAAGGAAACACAAAGCAAACCAGTAAACGGAAATTCAATCTCCAGATGGCGCCATCCTGGCTGCCATGGACACTGACCCTGTTCGAGCAGGATTTTATGATCTGGAGGTTGGAAGAGAGGGGGAGTGGAAGGCAGGGGGATCAGGGAGGAAGGAGAAGGGAAAGAGGGAAAGAAATAGAAAGGGGGAGAAAGAAGGACAGAAGAAGAGGGAGGAGAGAGGGAAGAGAGAGGTGAGAGGCAGAAGAGGGTGGAGAGAGAGAGACGGAGAGGGATCAGCATTTGAAGTTGTTAGGTGGGTTTATGGAGAACAGGATATGCTACTGGCCAGATTAAAAACCTTCCAGGCGTTTAGTTTAAGCTGCAGGCTTTCGTATCAGGTCAAGAGGATGAGGAAGAAGCTGCCCTCTTGGAAGGTAACCTTCTTCTTACTTAGTTATGGCTCCTTTTCCTATCTGTTTGCCTATTTGAAATATATCTAACTCCCACTCCTTCACTATTACCCCGAAAATTTTTGTACAGGCCTGGAGAGACAGCTCAGTGGTTAAGAGCACTTGTGGTTCTTGCAGTAGACCAGGGTTCTGTTCCCAGCACCCACGTGTCAATTCACAACTGCCAGCAACTCCAGTTTGGGGCCGTCCAACACCACTTCTGGTCTCCACAGGCATCAGGCATGCATGTGGTGCCCATACACATATGCAGGAAAAATACTCATATATACAAAATAAGAATAAATAAACCTAAATAAAAAGGTCTTAAGATGTTTTGTACTTATACTTTTAATAACAATTATTTATTGATTCCTTGGGGATTTTACATCATGCACCCCAATCCCAATCACCTCCCTGTCCCTTCATATCTATCCCTCACCACTGCAGCATCCCTCCCCTAAAAAAAAAAAAAAAAACCTTCCTAAAATGAATTAAAACCAAAACAAAGCAAACGAACAACAACAAAAACCCACCACCTCTTCATTTGTTCTAGTGGCTTTGGGAGCTGTGGTAAGTCAGGCAGTCTACCCTTTAGTCCACTCAGCCACACCTGCAAAAGTTCATTACAATGAGTCGTTGGTCTGGTTCAAGGCCTCTGGCACTCCATTGTCACTGGACCCTCACAAAAATTCCTTTCAGATTTCCTGCTATTGATACCCTGAGTCATGGAGATCTTGAGGCTATTGCTCCGCAGGACCAGTCCCTTCTTCATGCAATCCAGCAAGTCGTAGATGGGGTAGAAGTTAGGGTGGGCCAACTCAAGGCCCAGGATGTGAGTCAGGGTAGTAGCTCAGCTGGTCAGTCTGGGCTACTGGGACCACTTGCCCCCTCAGGCAGGGAGCAGAGCCAGTTCTTCTATGCCCACAACATCAGGGCCGGCTTTCCCACACCCTTGGTGAGGGGTGGGACCACTCTTTGAAGTGTAGGGGAAAGCTCTCCCATGAGGAGCTGGGTGAGCACCCCTACTGTAGTGCCCAGAAAGGTGCAGGGCCAGCTATCCTAGGGCCAATGAAGGAAGGGACCAGCTTAGCATGGCCCTCAGATTTCAACACGTATGGTTCCTATTACCCACTGTGGTAACATGGACCATGGACATCAATAAAGACTCCAGTTGCAGCAGGATCACAAACCCAGACATGGCCCTTGGCAGCAGCCCTGGCCTGGATGACACCATGACCCTGGGTGATAGGCACGACTTTGGTGGTGCCACAGTCCTCAGACACCAGCACGGCCACAGATTGCAGCCTAGACCCTGGGCATCTGTGTGGCCTTTGGTGGCAACTTGGGCCACGGACATCAAAACAGACTCCGGCTGTGGTAGGACCACAGACCCAGACATGGTCCTCAACAACAGCTCAGGCTCAGATGTCACCATGGCACCAAGTAGCAGCGCAGGCCACTCAGATAAGCATGGCTCCTGTGGCAGCATGGCCCTCAGACACCAATATGGCCCCAGGTGGCAGCCCAGACCTCTGGAATTTGCATGGCCTTCGGTGGTATCAGGAGCCATGGACATCAACACAGACCCTGGCTGCAGTAGGGCTACGGACCTAGATGTATATATAAAAGCTGGTTCCTAAAATGATTTTCTTGTATGCTTCCAAGAACTCCTAATAGTGTATTTATCTAAAATGTCTATCAGGCACCCAAGACCAAATGAAACAACACCTGTCTCCTAGCCCAGGCGGATAGCTTTATTTCTTATAGGGTGAGATCCTCCTTTCTTATACAGCCTTACTATTAGACCCCTAACTTCTTTCCTAACCACTTCTAGGAATGTAGACTGAGCACATAGATCCCCTTTTTGATATACTAACCGGTCATTAGCACTCAGTTGACCTCCTCTTTTACCACTCCCATTTTAGGTTGTAAAAGAAAGCCTGGTGGTCACCACCTGAGGAAAATTCTTACTTGCCTTTATGACCCCGTAAGAATTCAAGCCTGGTGACCGTGCTCTGCCAGAGGATTGCTATTGCTTGGTTTTATAACTGGATTCCTGGGGAGACTTGAGGAGAACAAAGAGAGAGGAGGAGAGAGAGAGGCAAAAAGAGAACTTAGATGGGGAAGAACTAGATTGAAGGGCTAGAAGAGAGTACTAGAGGAATGAGATGGAAGATGAGGAAGAGGCAAATGGGGAAGAACAAGGTGAGAAAGAAGGAGATGGGAGAGGAGCTGAGATGGGAAGGAACTAGATGGATGAGAACCTGGATGGGGCAAAACTAAGATGAGGGAATTAAGAGAGAACTTAGAGGACAGCAGATAAATGTAGAGAGAAATCAGGCAAGAAAGGAGCTAGACATGAGAGCAGACTAGAAGCTGTGTAGAGAGAGAACTGACTCAGAAGAATAAAGTGTGTAGACTAAAGAGTTTCGTGTGTGTAGATTCATTTCCTATCCTCAAAGATTAATTATCAGCCGGTTGCAGATTCTTCCCGGACCCTGGGAGGGGATTATTGAGGGGCCAGACCCCCTTGAGTCCTCGTTCCTCGCCGTCTTCACTTCTGCAGATCTGCCTCTTTCCACAGCACATGAATCGTTCTGTTTCTCTGTCTCCCATTCCTCCATCATCTGTTTGCTCATTACAATGGCACCTACCTTGTGGTGCCCTTATAACTAAAGGTTGGAGAAATGACTTGTCCGAGCCAAAAAGTCAAGAATTATGACTAAAGATTCAAATTGGTTACAGAGTCTTCCCATCATGAGTTCCTGAAGATGAAGAAATGAAGGAGGACCAAAACCAGGCAACTTCATTAGTTAAAAAGACACTGATCAAAGATTGCCTTCAGCCTAGAGAAAAAGATGGTGTTGGGTTACTTTTAATACCTCCTGTGCTCTAAAACCTCAGGAGATAAACTCTTATATTCTTGTTTTGTACCTCAAACTTGTGCTGATGTCTAAGGAAATAACTGCTTGTGTAACAGGACTTTCTTATCAGACTTCCTTTGGGAACCGCCAGCTCCCAATAATGATATGGAGACTTACTATTAATTATGAAAGTCTGACCTTTAGCTTAGGCTTGTTCCCAACTAGCTCTTACAACTTAACCCATTTCTATCAGTCTTCATTCTACCATGTGGCTTTTTCCCTCTTCACCATTCTGTGTGTCCAGCTCCCTCCTCGTCTCGCTGGCATCTCCTCCTTTCTTGCTCCCACTGTTCCTCTCTCTCCTCAGAAATCCTGACTATTCTCTCCCGCCTAGTTATTGGCTGTTCAGGTGCCTTAGGCAGGTGAGGCAAAACACAGACACATTTTCACACAGTGTAAACAAATGTCCTGCAATATATTTGGACATCAGAAAATTTGGGTGACACTCATCTCCAACTATATTGACAGTTGTGTACCCCAAATAACTGAGTTCAAAACCTCTCTGACTGCATTTCTGTTAACTCATATTTTGATAGTATACATAATACATTTATATTTAATATTTTACACTACTGTATTGATTATATATTATTATATTTTATATAATTAATATATTAAATTTTTAGTATTTTTTTAACTTAACCTTGGCTGGCCTGGAGCTCCCTATGTAGACCAGGCTAGCCGTGAACTCATAGAGATCCACCTGTCATAGACTGCCCCTGCCCCAGTTATAGGATCAGCGTCATGTACTACCATACCCATCACCCAAATATTTTATTCTAGTATTTTAAAATTTTTCTGAGATGTTTACAATTTTCCTTGGCATATGTTTCTAAATGATAAAAATAATGCTAAATTTCTTATTCTTGAGGATGATGATATTCCGTTACTACATTTCTGGGGTACCTGCATTCTAAATCCAAACTCTTCAAGCCTGCAATTCCAGCCCTGGAGCACTCTGACACCCTCTTCTGACCACTGCAGGCACCTGCACTCACAGGCACAGACCCACAGACAGTCACACTCACATACATATAATTAAATATAATACAAATAAATCTTAGAAAAATTCCAACTCTGCTTCATAAACTGTCTGGTCCTGAAATTCTTTTTGGCACCAAAGCTATGAACTAGGTTTGGCCTGAGTCAAAGATCCCTGAATATCTAGAGCAGAGATTCTCAACCTGTGGGTTGTGACCCCTTTGGGGGGTCGCAGGACCATTTCACGGGGGGCACATATCCTGCATATCAATATTTGCATTCTGATTCATAACATTAACAAAATTACAGTAGCAATGAAATAACTTTATAGTTGCGGGTTCCACGGCATGAACAACTGTGTTAAAGGGACGCAGCATTAAAAAGGTTGACAACCACTGCTCTAGAGGTATTTCTTTCACTGTTGAGGGTGGCAGTGGGAGGTATCTTTCTGTCCCCACACCATCAACAAAAACATTTCCAGATTGGAGCCTGTTGTATGAGACAGCCTGAATCCATGGTCCTGGGTCATGGTCTCTCATAATTGGCTTCAGAATAAACGATCTCTTATTCCCAGAGAGGTGAATATTTATTCCCAGAGAAGTGTGTTCACTTCAGCTCTCTCCGTCCCGACTCTGTCTCCTAGAGATTCAGTCTCTGGATCCTTAGCACACAGAATCCTCTGACCTGGCCCTGGTGCCCCTTCTTAAGCGATAGTCTCAAAACTCAGACTTGTAGTAACATCGGGCTCTCACCTATCCAAAAGATCACTGCCTGACTGTGTGATAGTACACGGAAGGGCTAGTAATTCAGAAGGAGGAGCGACTGCAACAGCACACAGGCGGAGCCAACCGTCCACTGAAGGGTATTTCTTCCTCTCAGCTGCTAAGTTTCTATCTTCCTGTGGCTGAAACAGCGTCTAGGCTCCGAGATGGGTGCTGCAGAGACTGCAGAGGCTTCTGTGGGCATGCTCAGTACCACAGACCGCCTGAAGGAGGGTATGTATTTAATGCATATTTGAACCGAACTACGAGAGCGGAGAGGTGCTTCGCCAGGGACGGGGACGGACGGGGGAGGGCAGAGGAACTTAACCTCAAGCCTGTCCCAGTGGTTCGCTGCAGAACCAGAGAATGCAGACAGGAATTTAGCTAAGAGGTTGTTACATTAGTTATTCCATTGGAGCATATAATACTTAAATAGTTCTCGCACAAAAGAAATGAACAGTGGATTACCTTACAAAAGCCGGCGCCACGGCTTTTTTTCTTTGTACTTAGCTTGCTAGTGCACTCTTTTCCCTGGGCTCTGGTAAAATACACTCCGGTGAATTGCACCAAGTCCCTGTGGAATATGCCTGCTCTACAGGTCTCATAGCAAAGGCAAATTCAAACAATAGCTTTGCAAAGTGCATAATGACAGAAGTTGCCTGGGAGGCTGGGGTTTTTGTTTTGCAGATCCACTGTAAAGAAAAAAGGAATGCAAGGAGGTGGCATGGGGTGGGAGGCTGACCCCACCCAGGACTAAATCCTTTGCATTTTGAGCTTATTGTAAATTATGGAGAGAGAATATAATAGGATTTTTTACTTCAATTTTCAGAAAGGAAGCAAGATTGTGTTTTCTTGCATTTTGAAAATGTCTATGTTTCATTATATTTCACTCTTTTTCCTTCTTCCCTGTTCATTCACCTTAATTTTTTTCATTTACGGAAAGAATATTGGATTTTGAGAAAACAAGACTGATATTTACCAAAATACAAAATTCATGACAAATATTAACGCTTATTACTTACACTGAGTATTATTCTAACTGAAATTATTACTGTTATTATTAATATTAACTATTGATGTTGCTGCTGCTACTGTCTATTGTCTGATGTTGATGATTGATTCTTTGAGAAAGTCTCATCCTATATCCCAAGCTGGCTGATAACTCCTACTCCCTTTGCCCCAGCAGGGTTGACTTTTGAAACCAGATACTTACCCAATGGGAACATACCTGTTGCTAATGTGGAGCTTCCGCCCCAAGGGCAGCTGAAGGCATTTCGAAACTCCACTCTGTTGAAACCATAACTGGTTCTGTGAGTGAAGCAACTTTTTTTTCTTTCAAGACAGGGTTTCTCTGTGTAGCCCTGGCTGTTCTGGACCTCACTCTGTAGACCAGGCTGACCTCAAACTCAGAGATCTGCCCGCCTACTTCTGCCTCCTGAGTGCTGGGATTAAAGGCTTGAGCCACCACCACCTGGCATTTTTTTTTTTTCTAAATAAAGCTAAAAAATCAGATCAGCAATATTTCATTTCTTTGTCTTTTTTTGAGAGATCATTTCTAATATTGCTTCCTAATAAAGATGTAAAAGTTACGTTCTAACTGTGCTGTGGGAGGCATTCGAATTTAGGAGACACAAATGTATACACTATGAGAAAAATGGAAGAAAAAAATTACCATTTATGTATCAAAATGAAAAAGACAGTATCAGACCTTACACCGATGTAAATACAGAATTCTCAGTAAATCTTGCTGTTAATAACGTATAAGAAATGTCCGGTGTGGCATCCTGTTGGAACCCGGGTGATTAGATGCTTAAAGTTTCTTCAAGAAGACATATCAGGTATTGTTCTTGAACACAATCCCAAACTCTTCAGTTTGGTTCTTTTTCTTTTTTCTTTTCTTTCTTTCCTTTTTTTAAAAATTGACATTTTACAATTAACACACCCTTTTATTGTTTCTTTAAGGAGACTACATTAGAAACTCCCTCAGCTATTTTCAGAAACACTGTACATTATTGTGAACTCTTTCTTACTGTGCTTTGATACCAGAGTTGATAATTTCTTTATAGCAAATATTGCCTCCTTCCTTTCTACTCTCCCAAGCCCGGTAAGAGATATTTATATCTGAGTGTGTTTTGTAACACTATTCACAGTAACCTGCACATGGAACCCACCTGCATCTTGCAGTGAATAAATGGGGAAAATTGTGATACATACTATAAGAGAGGATGAGACAATGTCTTTTGTGATAACATGGGTAGATCTGGGTGACACGTTGAGTAAAATTAATCAGACATTGAAAGTCTAACTCTGCTCATCAGTTAGAGGAATTAGCTAGGAGTATATATTATTTAATTAGAATTTGGAAGAGGTTTTAAGCACGATGCTAAACTCAGAAATCATAGGTAAGCCTAGACATTTCAAATTTGAAGGTGTTTAGACATCTGATATGTTTTAAGAAGTAATCTTGAGGATGGGGGTGATGGGAGGAACGGAAAGCTGATGAAAATCAATTTCTCACATGCAGACAAGTTTTGGAGCTGGGTAGTGAGCACATGAGAATTTAGCATATTGTTTTCTCTATTTTCGTATAGGCTTGCAATTCCCTACAGTCAATGCTTTGTTTTGAAATGTTAAAAAATAGAAGAGAAAAGAAGAAAACATGAGGACTTATAGATGAATGGACCTTCAGGAGACCAGTAAAACAAATAGGTCATTATTGGGGACATTAAAAGATGCTTTGATATCACCTTAGTAGAAATAAAAAAAAATAGAAATCATGATAATTGAGTTTCTAAAGACATTTTTGTTGAATATAAACAACAAAAAAATGAAGGTTGAGAACTTCATATGAGTCAAAATCCAAAAGTCATTATATAATGCTTACAATCCTGTAATCCTAAATATTGTCTTTCTTATTAGTTTAAGCATAAGCTCTCTTCTGACTTGGAGATATATGAAACTGATCAAATATAGTGGTTAAAGTCAGTGGAAACTTTTTTTTTTAAGTATAGTTTATATTCAGTAAAGTCCATTCACTTGGTGTACATTTCTGAGTTTTGAAAACATATACTCATCATGTCTCCATCACAGTGAAATATAGACCTATAGCTCCAGCCAAATCCCTCTGAGGCCCACTGCAGACTCTTCCCTGACACTCGCTTCCTCTTTTCCCAAACCATGGCCACCCCTGACCTGACATTTCCTTTTCCAGAAGCTGTTCACATAGATTCCTACAGTCTGGTAGTCATCCACATGTGACACTTGTGTGTCAAATACAAATAGTTGGTCTTAGATTTATGTTCCAAGCATTATTGGTCCACAAATAGTTCTGGATTCAGAAATATAAAAGCAGCTCATAATATGTCTGCTTTTATTTTGCAGAAGATTAAGAAAAGCCAATGGGAAAACTTGTGGATTAGATTAGCTCAAGCAGAAACAATTTAGTGACAGATGGAGCTATAAAAAAAAAAAGAAAAGAAAAAAGAAAACAAACAAACAAACAAACAAAAACCCCATAACTCTGTGATCAGATTCTCAAGATAGGCTCAGGACAGCTGTTTTTGTAGCTCACTGCTCTAGAACTGTTGATGACCTAAGCCTAAGAAACATTTGGACAGTGTGAGAGATGGTCAGGGGCAAGCAGATGCTCCAGTTTTTCCTTTTGAATGTCCTACCCACACTGCTCAGTAATACTGATTTACATTGTCAAAGTTGGAGGATATTTGGCTTGTTGCAAGGTTTGAATTTAAAAAAAAAATTAATTTTTTAATAAGAATCTCCAGAGTTACTGTCAATATTCACATGTAGATTTTATTTTTTAGTGGAAACATGGGTTTTCATTTCTCTTGTGGGAATATGTGGATAGCAGGGCCCAGGGCATATAGTAAGTGTATTCTCATTTTAACAAACTGATGATGTTTTCAACTGTCTTTTCTCAAACCTGGTAACACTGAACATATTTAATCCATGATCATTGTTAGCCAGTGTTCAAGTATTTGACTCATTTTTATTCTTTCTCTCTCTCTCTTTTTTAAACCAATGAATTCTCAGAACTCTTGGGATACAACTTCTTTTTTATCTATGTCTTGCAAAAAATTGTTTTTCAAATTCGCTTTGCAGGACTCAGAGAAGAGGTTTTCTTAATTAGGCCCAAATTCAAGTGTTCCATTTTCTATAAGGTGGATAAGTATATTGGTATTATACCTGAGACATTTGTATTCAAGACTAGTTCACAGAGATTTTTCTTTTCTCTTTTCCTCAGATAGTTTTATAGTCCTAAGCTGATGCTTGGATAACATTTTATAGGAGGTAGGAGAAGTGAACTTTAAGCACGTGGATACGGATTGTCTCAGCATATAGGCACAAGGTGCACGCAGGAAGAAGTAAGAGTGGAACAGCATTCAGTGTGCACAAAGATCAGCCTCCTGAGATGATGGAATGCAGCAACCTCTGTTGCTGGAGGTTTTCCTGTTTCCCGACCTGCTGGAGGTCGGGGACAAATCTCTCCCACTTGTGGCCTCAAGTAAACGCACAGAGGCTTATATTAATTATAACTGCATGGCCATGGCTCAAGCTTTTAACTAGCTAGCTCTATATCTTAAACTAGCCCATAACTATTAATCTATGTATCGCCACTTGTTCCGTGGCTTTACCTGCCTCACATGTTGCTCCTTGGGCGGCTCGCTGGCATCTCTCTGTGCCTTCTTCTTGGCTTGCTCTTTGAATTTCCCGCCTACCTCTAAGCTGCCTTGCCATAGGACAAACGGCTTTACTTATCAACCAATCAGAGCAACACCTATTCACAGCATACAGAAAGACATTCCCCCATCAAACCTCATCTCCCCAAATATGTCCAACTCAGTTAAATGTCAGGCCCACGTGTTTGACTTGTTTCTCAAGTTGTTTTGGTTTTTGTCCGTTCTTTTGGTTTATGCATCTATACTTTTGCCAAAACCGTACTTTTGATGTCTTTGTTTCTGTCACTATGTGATTAGGTGGTGTCATTTCTGCAAATTTGGCTTCTTTTTTTCTAAACTGCTCAACTAGACTACTTCTTTTGCATTTTCATGCAATTTGAAAGTTATCTTGTCCTGGAGAGAGATGGCGCATGCTTAAAAGCATTGGCTGCTCTCATAGAGGACCCAGGTTTAGCTCCTAGTACCTTCACAACTGTCTATAATTCCAGTTCCAACACTCTTTTCTGGTCTCCTTGTAGATCAAGCATGCACACCATGCTCAGACATGTAACGAGTCTTTCTTTGTTCCTCCAGCTCCCAAATAATGACATAGAGTCTTCTTATTAATTGTGGAAGCTTGGCATTAGCTTAGGCTTGTTTTTAACTAGCTCTTTTTACTTAAGTTTACCCATTTCTATTAATCTATGTTTTGCCTTGTAGCTTTTTGCCTTTCTTTCGTTCTGTATGTCCAACTCTCTCAGCGTCTTGTTGGCACCTTGATTTCTCCTCCTCTTCCTTTCTCTCCTCAGAAATTCGGCCTATTTCTCCTAAATAGCTATTGGCCATTCAGCTCTTTATTAAACCAATCAGAATGTCCCTTAGCAAAGACACATCTTCACGGTGTACAAATATTCTGCAACACAGACATATATGCAGACATATGCATAAAATAAAAATAAAGTAAAAATAAGTTTAAAATGAATACAATAAATAAATGCCTTATTTATTTCTTTGAAATGCCCTATATCCATAAATGTGTTGGGAAGAGTTCCTTTAATTCCTAACTTGCTGAGAGTTTTTGTTATTTTGGACTAATAATTTTTTTCCACACGATTTTGACAAACTTGTTAAAATGCTCCCATATTTTACCCATTAATTATGTCAATATGTTCCATTAAATTTATGTGTGTGTTTATTAATTTATTTACCTACTAGGTTCTTTGAAATTGATCCTTATGTAGTCCAGGTTGGCCTCAACCTCCTTATGTAGTCAAGGCTGGCCTTGTACTCCTGACTCTCCAGCTTCTGCCTCTTTAACACTGGAAATGCACAAGTGTACCAACATGTCTGTCTCTTTGACTGGAGCAGGAGATACACAGGCAGTCATGAGCTGCTGCATGTAGGAGCTGGGAGCCAAACTTGGGTCCTCTAGAAGAGCAACAACTGTTCTTAACCTCTCAGCCATCTCTCCAGTCTATTCTTAATGGAACTAGAACAATGGGTGGTTTTTGTTGTTGATTCTTTTTCATCCTGTTCTTCACTCTTTCTGTTTCTTGCTCCTTCATTGGCTCTTGGTTCAATAACTGGAAGACTCCATGGCAACAATTCTGTTTCCTTTCTTCTAGTATTCTGTGAGCAATAAATATCATTTATAGACCAAGACTTTCTGTGAAGGGCGTTTGCAACAGGGGAGTACAAGTCAAATCTATAGATGATTCTGGGCAAATTTATCTTTTTTCTTAAAAGTTTCCTGAGATTGATACTCTCATATTTATATTTTCAGGTAAAAAGTTCCAAGTACTTTGTCCCAGCATCCTCTCCCCTGAGTCCCGTGCTAAGCTCTACGGCTGCTATGCAGTGATCGCTGTCCTCACTGCAGCTGTAATTGCACTGACTGTTACACTGTCAGGTGAGTGACTCATCTCCAGATTCTGCAGCATTCTGTCCACATCCACATTGTCACTTAGACTTACTGACCACTGTGAGCCAGGCACTGTGGGAAGGGCTAGGGAGAAAACACACTGGAAATTCCTGTTCTCTGGGAACTTTGGGTCTAGCAGGAAGATGCAGTGAAGGAACAGCACAGGCTGTGGTGTGCACAGGAAGCCAGCCAGGCTCAGCATCCCTGGGAAGATGACGTTCAGCAACCTCTAGAGAGATGCAGGAGACATATGTCTACTTGGGGGGAACTATTCAAGGTGGAGAACAAGGAGAACAATACTGTAGCTGGAGTTTTCTCCAGTCCTGCCTGGCCCACGGTCAGGACCTTTCACCCACCAGTCCCACAGCTGCTCAGACCCAACGGAGTAAACACACAGAAACTTATATTGCTTACAAACTGTATGGCCGTGGCAGGCTTCTTGCTAACTGTTCTATCTTAAATCAACCCATTTCTATTAATCTATAAGTTGCCACGTGGCTCGTGGCTTACCGATATCTTAACATCTGCTTCTCATCGTGGCGGCTGACAGCGTCTCCCTGCCTCAGCCTTCCACTTCCCCAAATTCTCCACTCTGCTTGTTCCGCCTATACTTCCTGCCTGGCTACTGGCCAATCAGCATTTTTTTTTATATCCACAGCACAATACCCAAAGGAAGTGCGAGGACAGAGAAGAGTAATATGGCCAGGAAGATACAGTACCTCCCACCATTACCCATGGTTTTAGTTACCATGTTCAACTGTATTTTGAAAGTATTCAATGAAAGTTTTTTGAAATGATCAATTAAAGGATTTTAGTACCACACTCTTCAGAATAGTGTTAAAAGTCTTGTACTGTCACCATCTGTGGGGTGGCCTCTTTCCCTCTCAGCCTGTTGGCCATCAGGTTGAGAGGGGAAAGACAGAGAAGGGGTGACAGAAAGCTTTGTATGCAACCCATAAGCATGGATGAAGGGAGGCCTCCAGGAGACAGACTTAGGTGAATCAGCTCAACTTTATTCCAGAGTATAAGGAATATATAGGATTGGGGAACCTGGGAACAAACCCTAATTTGTATTAAATGGCATGCTACTATTACAAGGCTTGGTATGTGGCAGTAGGGCCCTATAGCAGAACTCCTAGCATAAATCTTCTTAGCAGGGATCTGTATCAAGGGTCAAGCTAAAGGTAAATCAAGCATCTGGTTTTAGAGACAGCTTTCAGTCCTCCAGGCCCAGGGACATCCTCTAGACAAGGTCAGGTAGAGAGCAGGAAGTTCTGTTGGAGCGGGAAGGGAGTTCCATATTGTTGAGCTTAAAGAGAAAGGTGCTAGGCTATGGCAGACTGTGATCTCTAACAAGCTAGCAATATATTCCAAGATATGAACAATCCCTTAGTGCAACATGTCCACACTGTGTATACTACCTTCCCAATAGTCCTCCTGTTACCTCAATTATCAGTCTGACTGTCAAAGTCGGTGTCCATACAGAGTGCTTGTTGCTCTAACAACCCCTACTGCAGTGAACAATCATAAAGCACAAAAAGTGATATAGAAATTCACTTCCTGGGGGCTCTATTTTCAGTGAGCACCCAGAGAAATTGGGGGCACAGGCCCTAGCTGTGATGCTTTTAGATAAAGGACCATCATGCTAAAGAGAGGATTTCCACAGATCAGTTAGGAAAACTACAGTCAAATTCACACCTCACAGCTAAGCTTAGTAGTAGGCTATGCCAATTCATGTTATAATTCATTTTGTTGTCCAAATTCTAGCAAAGGAAAAACAAGTCTCAATGAAAACTACCTATGCTGTTTGCCCAAGAGGCTGGATTGGATTTGGGAGTAAATGTTTTTATTTTTCTGAAGACTTGTATAATTGGATACTCAGCAAGAACTTCTGCATGAAAGTGGAGGCCCAGTTAGCTCGATTTGACAATCAGGAGGAGCTGGTAAGAAAGGATCGGGAATTGGTTTGTTTGCTTGTTCTGTCGCATATGTATTGCCTTGAGATAGGGTGGTTAAAGATGAGGCACGAGGAAGGTTCCCACCCCACGCAGATAGAGACATGGGGAACATGTGAATGTGTGTCATTTGCTGATGCTAACACTTCTGATTGGAGCCCTGAGACATTCAGTAAACATTCTCTCATGTAATGCAGAATGCCAGCTATGCCATTTTACTGAGATATCTGGTGCTCATGAGCATTTTTCTCCAAGCCAGCATATGTTACATGCTGAAGGTGATAACTGTTAATAACGGCAAGGGGAGGCTTAACCAGGAACTGTCCCAGCAACAGAGGGATCTGTCATTAAACTCGGTACTTTAACTCAAATGAGGTCATCACGAATTATAGCTGTCAACTGGATCCACTGAGAACTGAGGGCTATTATGGCTCCAAAGTCTGTATCCCTCAATTATACCCTTCTGTCATCTAAAGAGGAAGCTGTGGGGTGGGGGACACTCAAGGGTCATCTGAAACAGAGAGACACATACTCACTTTGCATGTTTTATGACAGGATTTCCTGATGAAATTCAAAGGGAGTTTTGACTACTGGATTGGCCTGCACAGGAACTCATCAAGTGACCCTTGGAGATGGGCAGACAACACTGAGTATAACAACAGCTTGTATGTTTTCAAACCACTTTTCCTTCTACCGTGTTCATGTGTTGTGTTTGTGTGAGCTGTGGTTATGAAAGATGAAGGCTGTGGCATGCGAAGTCAATGGTACCGCTTTGGAAGTATATTGGGCATCATTTTTAAAACCTTTACTTAGTGTGATTTTACTCAAAATCTTTAGCATGACGATGGCATATGAGGTAGCAATTGTATGCTCCTGTACCAATTTAAAATGTTTTGTTGTTGATAAATGCCCTGTTTGGAATGTAGACATAATCTCAGATGGTCAATGAGGGCTCTGAAACCTCAGGAAGCCACTGCAGAAGTGCAAGCCTGAGGCTCATCAGTCCACTGTGTGCATGGCTGCACCAGTTCACAGAAGCAGAGACTCCAAGGGCATTGGAAACCTCCTCTGAAGTCTTGTAATTAGAGCACACCCAAGACAGTTCTTGGATGTGAGCATAGCTGTTTTGAACGGAGCCATTATCCTGGAATGGTAGATCACAGACCCAGTCTTGTCCATCATTAAAGCCCTTTCAGCAATTTACTAAGAAGTGGGTTTCCCCATACGAAAAATGCTTCAAAACAGAATTGAAAATCACCCTCAGTGAGGCCACCCATGGCTGTAGTTTATTTGAACATGGCAACAACCACCAGTCAAATGCTTTGTATACTCAGTTCAGGGTTCAACATGGACGAATGACAAAGGTCTGGTCATCAAATCAAACGCTGAGAATGTAAAAGTCACTAGGTGTAAATCTCGTGCAGATGATTCCTCCTGGGCTCTGCCTTCCTTTGATTCATATTACAAGCAGTAGAGACAGGCAAGATTTCATTGCGGGAGCGAATGAAGTTCTGCACTCTACAGATTTACTGTTTTGGGTTTATTTTCAGGACTCCCATCCGAGGACAGGGAGAATGTGTTTACCTGAACGAAAAAGGCATCGGCAGTGCCCGGATGTTTGCAATCAGGAGATGGATCTGTAGCAAGCCCAACAGCTATACCCTCCAATGCCAAATTCCGTTTTCTCCTTTCTAGTCTTTCCCAAGAGATGCTTTGTAACCTGGCCTCTACAGTTGCTACTCTGTCACCTATTTGCCAACATTGTTATCAAAAGGAACTGTTAATATTTCTCCATATCACAAATGAAACCCATCTTGGAAAACTGCACACACAGGGGTTTAGAAGAACATAGATGAGTCTAAAATAGGTGTTGACACTAATATCTTAAGCCTAAAGTACATTTAAAGTTAGTGAACCCCACTTTTACGATATGAAGTTTTTGTGCAGACAGTCCACCTTTTGAATTTATTTATTTATTTTCGATACATCATTTTATTTTACTTTGTTTTCATTTTACATATCAACCACAGTTCCCCCTTCCTCCCCTCCTCCTGCTTTCCCTCCACCTCCCCTCATTGCATCCCCCATCAGCTCCTTAGAGAGAGTAAGGCCTCCCATGGGGCATCAGTAAGGTCTGGCACATCAAGTTGAGGCAGGACCAAGCCCCTCACCTCTGCATCAAGGCTGAGTGAGGTATCCCATCTTAGTGGGTGGGCTCCAAAAAGCCAGTTCATGCATCAGGTATAAATCCTGTTCCCACTGACAGGGGCCCACAGACAGCCAGCCACACAAATGTCAGACCACTAAAATGAGTTCCCCAAAGTGCACTTGCCCTTGGAATTTAATAATGAAAAGCGTCAGGCAGTGGTGGCATATGCCTTTAGTCCCAGCACGCAGGAAGCAAAGGCAAGTAGATCTCTCTGAGTTCGAGGCCAGCTTGGTCTACAAAGTGAGTTCTAGGACAGCCAAGGCTACACAGAGACACCCTGTTTTGGAAAAAAGAAAAGAAAATGGCCGCCTGGTGTTGTGACACACACCTGCAATCCCAGCTACTTATGGGTTGAAAAAGGAGGGTCACAGATTCACAAGTGGGGACTGAAAGTATGGGAATGCTTTAACAATGATAGGGAAGATGAGAATCCATTTGCAGCATCCCATAATTTGGGGGAGGGGGGGACAACACACAATACACTCTTTTCAAAATTCATTCCAACATATAGGAGAATTTAAAAAGTATTTAAAACTAAGATTTACTTTATGCTCTGCAATTTAAAACATTAGAGATATTGTCAAAATGTTTCTCTACTTTAGTTTTCAATTATACACTTCTAAATACATCTTATAAACAAATGCCATTTTAGTTTCCCCATTTGATTAGACTTACTTCACATCAAATGGCAGTTAGTTATGTTGCTTGAGTTTTTCTGCCTGGCCCACAGTCAGGGCAAATCTCTCTCACCCACCAGTCCCAAGCCGCTCAAACCCGATCAAGTAAACACAGAGACTTATATTGGTTACAAACTGTATGGCCGTGGCAGGCTTCTTGCTAACTGTTCTTACAGCTTAAATTAATCCATTTCTATTAATCTATACCTTGCCACGTGGCTTGTGGCTTACCGGTACTTTACATCTTCCTTGTCCTGATGGCGGCTGGCAGTGTCTCTCCCCTAGCTTCCTGTTCTCTCAATTTTCCTCTCTGTTAGTCCCGCCTATACTTCCTGCCTGGCCACTGCCAATCAGTGATTTATTCATTGACCAATCAGCAACACATTTGACATACAGACCATCCCACAGCATAGTTAAACTCCTCCAGCATTCAATAATTAATCTCTTGAGAGTGTGCATATTATTGGGCCCTAAAAACAACATATTTAAAGTCTTTATGGAGTAGCTACACTGTACTGATGAGTCCCAAAAAGGACGAAATATCAGGTTACAAAGCATCTTTTGATCTCTTCATCCCTTCCTCTCCCTCTTGTTCTGTTCAAAAAACACTTTTTTATCTACTTCTTTTATGTCTATTTCTTGTATATATATATGTGTGCGTATGTATACATGCACACTGCCTGAGCTGGCAGAGATCAGAGGGCATCAGCTCCCTGGAACTGGAGTTATAGACTGATGTGAGTGGGCACATAGGTGCTGGGAATGAAACCCAGGTCTTCTGCAAAAACAAGTGTTCTTAACTGCTGAGCCATCTCTCCAGCCTTTTCTTCCTCCATGTTTTTTTTTTTTTTTTTTTTTTTTTTTTTTTTATTGACACTTCTTGGTAAGCTTTGCAAAAGTAGCATGTATCTCCTAAACTCTTTCTGTAGACCAGACTGACCTGGAACTCACAGAGATCCGCCTGCCTCTGCCTCCCAAGTGCTGGGATTAAAGGCATGCGCCACCACCGCCTGGCTAGTTTTTCTAAGTTTTAAAATGCAAATGCTATACTTTGTACCTGTCCCTTTCTGAACAGAAATTGAGCAGGGGTGGGGATGAAGAGAGGTGGGGAGAGGGAATGGAAGGAGAAAATGGTATATAAAGTAAATAAATGAATTTAATTAAGAAAAAAGTGCAAGTGAGTAATGTATTGTGCTTATTTTAAGACTATGCTTTATTATTTATTAGATGAATACAAGTATATTTTATTCTGGAAAATGACTTTCTCAGCCCCTCTTTCATTTAGCCCTAACAAAATGTTTTCCTTGCAATCTACTTTACTTCCTGCATCTGAATAGAAAGGTAGAAAACATCCTCAGGGACTGGCTATGTGTTCAAAAGAGGAGTCTTCAAAGTAGACCCATGGAATGAACTATATTCTCACAATTTTGGCTGTGAGACTGGTTAGTTTCAACTAAGTTCCTGACAAAGAAAGCTATATTTCTAAAATAATTATTTGATATCATTAATTGGTGTGAACTTAACCTACAAAATAAATTTGATAGGTGTATGATCTTAGCTGACCCAAAAATCTTGTATGCAGTAGACTTGAAAAAAAATTAGGTCTACTCATTCCAACTCCTAAGATTCAGATGAGATGACCCAGGAAAATGTCTTAGCAGTGTCTCCATCTGGCTCATCGTAAACACATGACAAGTTTTCTTCCATTGCTCTGTGGAAATAATTCTGAAAGAAACAGCAAGTTTTGAAGAGCATTGGCCCTTCTAAGGAATCCCCCCACAAGCTGCCAGTGAGCTGTTTAAACCACTTTCTTATAGGCAACAGAATTTACCAGTAGTTAAATGAATCATTTAAAAAGCATATAGTAAATCAATCTTTTTCTTTTTCCTTTTTCTTTTTTGAGACAGAGTCTTACTCTGTAGACCAGGATGGCTTTGAACTCAGAGATCTCCCTGCCTCTGCCTTCTGAATACTAGTTTTAAAGGAGTGTGCCACCATGCCTGGCTTAGGTTTTTATGGGTGGGGGAGGTGGGTCAGTGGGTAAGAGTTTTGTTGTACCAACACAAGGACCTGAATTGAAATTCTCACCAGCAGCCTAAAAAGTCAAGCATGGCTTTCCTTATACTTCTGTTATTTCAGGTCTACAGGGTACAGAGACAGGAGGATCCCTAGGTCTTGCTGGTCACCAATCTGGTTCAGGGAGAGACAACGCTTCCCACAATGAAAGAAAAAGGAGACTATAGCTATGAAACAAACTGTTCAAACACATTATCGGAACTAAAATCCAAATAATTTGGGATTTGTACCTTCCCTTAGTTCAAATCCATCAAATTTATCCTTAAAATTTTTCCTTTTATTCTTTGAGAATTTTGTTCAATGTGTTTTGATCTTATTTACACTCTCCCCAACCCTTACTTCTACCTGATCTGTCCTTACTCACCCACCTTTATGTCTTTAAAATAAACAAACAAACAAACAAACAAACAAAACCCATTGAGACCAGTTTATGCTGCCCAAGCACTCCCAGATCTATGGCTTCATCTGGAGCATGGTTTGCTCTCCAAGGGCAGCGTTCTTAAAGAAAAATATCTCTTCCTTTCCTAGCACCTAACTACTTACTGCCAATAGCTCCATGGCAAGGGGTGAGATTTCATGTCTAATCAATGCTGAAATTTCGTCAAGTTTGGGTTTGCACAAGTCTTGTGCATGCTGCCAGAACTGCTGTGAATTCATAATGTGTCTGTCCTGCTCTGTCCAGAAGATACTGTTTCTTTGTAGTCATCTACCACCTCTGGCTCTTACATTCTTTCTACTCTCATTGCTACAATGACCCCTGAGCATGGGGAGTTGGGGTGTAGCATATATGTTCCTTTTAGACCTGAGCATTCTATAGTGTCTTATGCTCTACACCTTGTCCAGTTTGTGGGTCTTTGTATTAATTACCATCTGCTGCAAATAGAAGCTTCTCAAATGAGGTTCGAGTGATGCACTGATCTGTCTATCTACCGGTTCTTGGCCCAATAATGGTTCCAGCTTTGAGCTTCATCTTCCGGAGCAGGACTTAAATCCAATCAGAAAGAGGTTGGTGACTCCTATGATGTTTGAAAGAGGTTGGTGACTCCTATGATGTTTACGACACTATTGCACTAGTGGACATGTCTTGCCAGACCAGCCATTATTGTAACTTGCATGGTTTAAAGCTGGGTCTAACTGATGATTACTTTTCTCTTCTGATAGCATGTATAGCCTTTTCTAGAACAATGAAAGCTATTCAGTTGGATGAAACTTCTGGGTCAATACCAGCTTTGTTTCTCCATGTTCTGTGATTTGAATATGTAGTATCTTTAGCAGTAGGATTTTACTTTCAAGCTCTGGAAGGCAATCATAAGCAATGGCAATAGCCTGTAATGTTTGGTTGGGGGTGTATAGGACTTCATGATCCAAAAACTCAAAAGAATTAACCATTCTTGGCACTGGTCTTTTTAGTTTTAGCATGTGGTGTCTAGTAAGGGTATTGTTGCCTATTATTAGGATAACATCATTTTAAATATATATATTAATTTAATAAAATATTTCAAAAATATATAGCACACATAAACATACATATATACATACATGTGCTTCTACAGTAGTAGGTTTCCATATCACTTTTTAAAGGGGCCTTTAATGTTATTTATCTCTTCACATACTCTCTTCTCCATCCTGATCTTTGCTCCCCCAACATAATTAAACCTTTCTTAATCTATCATTCTGTTTTAATATTTCATATCAGTGTTTTCTGCCTCCCTATCATTGAAAGCTCCTCTCCATGGTCTCTTGGCAATGTCCTGACTTCTGTGAGTATTGCAGCAGAAACACAACTATCTGAGTGTCTGAAGCCAACATTTACAAATGAGAGACAACATGTGACATTTTTCTTTCTGGGTCTGGGTTGCCTAACTCAGAATGATTATCTTCAGCTCCATCCATTTAGATGCAAATTTCATGGTGATATATTTTTTTTTATTTTTTGTTTGAATTCCTGAATTTTTTTATTTTAAATATTGTTTTGTTTTTGCTTTTCTTCAGAGATTCTATAAATTAAATTCCATTTTCATTTCTTGTCTTATTTTCATAATTTAATTCAACTGTGTTTTGTGGTATTTGTTTTGGCATTTATTTATATCCTCTTAGAATTCTTTATTTTCAGTATTGCTGTTTTTGAATTCATTGTCTTATACATCACCTGAGTTGTTTTTCTTAGGGAACATTACTCTGGACATACTAACTTTTTTTGGAGACTTAGTACTTTGGTTATTCATGTTTGCCCATTTGTAATGGAAACTAAGTATCTGCAGTCAGGTGGTGAGTACTGTTTATTGGTATGGAAATCTTGACTCTAATCTAGTTGAGCAGGTGTTCTAGCTTCCTGTTAATATATTTCAACTTGTCAGATGGTAGGCCAGCTGTGTGGAACTTAGGGTTCAGTCTTTGGGCAACTCAGATGTTTGAATCAGGTATCAGAAGTAGTCCTGGCTTAGCTTAAGTTAAGTGAGGCTTCTCAGCTGCAGAAGAAGACCTTCTGCAGTGTGAGAACTGTAGCTCTATGTAGAGGGGAGGTCATGCCACCTTTTCCTTCTTTATGTTCTTAGTCCTTGGCCTTATCCCTAGCAGGTGGTACGGGTTCAATTAACAGCCAGTCCACAACTGAACATGTTGTTATATATTTTCTGATGTGTATTTTTTAAATTATATGTATTCTTGACAGTTTATAGCCTGACAGTTTACTTAAAAACACACGTTGTTCTTCTGTGTTATTGAATCTAACCTAAAAGACTTCACAGTTTCTTGCTCTGATCATTCCAGAGGCAGAGTTAGGTAGAACTCTTATAATATGCTGTATTTTATGGTCTTTACTCATTTGGTATCTTTACCATCATCCATCATTATCAAAGGTCCAAGTGCAGTCAGGCTGAGGAAAACTGGGGTAATTTTCATGATTTTTTTTTTTTTTTTTTTTTTTTGCCATTATATGTTCAACTATTGCAATGAATCAAGTTCTCATAACAGGTCTTCGATATCAGTCACTGGAGAGTGTTCTGTGGTATGGTAATGACTAACCCAAAGGACCTTTGTCTTTTCCTTTTGCATTCAGTAAGTCACTAATTTCTGTCTTCTAAGTAGACTCGTAATTGAAAAGTTGGGGGGGAGAAATCTCCTTTCTAAGTGACATTGACATCGATCCAGCTGCATGTTTCCTTCACACTGCAAATCCCTGCAGACCACTCTGACTGAGAGTCATAGTATCTTGGATAGCTTTGGGTTGGGTGTAAAATTTTATGAAGAGTATGGCTCTCACAAGGCCCTATTTCATCTCCAGTGCTGAAAAACCTCTCTTTAAATTGTATCAGTTATTGGACACAGGGATGCATACGGATATAGTCAGGACACTGTGACCCAGAAATCATGACATTTCCATAGTTTAGCCTTCATAAGAACTGGAGTTATCTTGAGTCTTCCTTCTTTTTATAATGCATGTCTAATTAAGCTTTGGGGGTTTCCAAGACATATTCACTTCACTTTTACCTCTTTGGAAATTCCTTATACTTAAACTTAAAATAAAGCTTTTTTTTTTTATCAACTCTATGCGTTACTTTCCTTCTACTTAGCTGACTCCTACACATATTTCAGCTGTAAATTGTGCAAGCATTTCCTGCCTGAGTTCTTGACTCTGAATTTTCTTTTCTTTCTTTTTTTAAGATCTGTTTATTTTTTATGTATAGTGCTTTGCCTACCTGTATGCCTACATGCCAGAGTAGGACACCAGATCTCATTATTGATGGTTGTGAGCCACCATGTGGTTGCTTGGAACTGAACTCAGGAGCTCTGGAAGAGCAGCCAGTGCTCTTAACCTCTGAGCGATCTCTCAAGTCCCCTGAATTTTCTTGTAGTAGTGTTTACAGGGCAAATTATTACCTTTTCTGAATTCTCAAGACAAATCAAACACAGATATTCTTTTCAGTTCCATACAAAGTCCCTTACAAAGAGTGACTGTGGCCACACCTGGCATGCTGACTGGCAGGTAACAGAGTTTAGAGATAAATGGTGTTAAGTGATTATTCATATCTTTGTAACCACATGACTCCTTTAGAAATTAGTTTTATCATATGAACTATATGTAGAAACTGAGAGACTTTACATTAGTACAACCATCAAGAGTAACAGAAATTCATTTTTGACCTTTGCTTTTCTTCCTCTGTCTTGTTTTTAGCGAAGTTTCCAGCAGATCATTTGACTATGACCTTTATCACTTACAGGGAACTTGGACATATTAACCTCTTCCCCAAGAGCTCATCGGGAAGGTGAAACTGTTGCTCTCAGCCTCATTGTATGAACTAGAACATCTACTAAAATGTGTTATTACTATGTCTGGAGCACAGTGGGTAGCAGTAAGCTGTAGTTTTATGCTGTCCCAACAGAAGAGTTCTCAAGGGTAGGCTGCCAATTGTCCTGGCTTTCTGTTAGAGGATTTATTTTTTCCCTAGGGGTGAGCAGATATGAGCTGTCAGTCAATGCACAGATGCCTATCTTTAGGGTATTTTGGAACCACAGTGCTGCTGTCACTAAGCATTGAGGTGAACTGTCATCTCTGCAGTAGAAACCTGTAGGATGGTGAAGACTTTGGGTGTAGGGGAGTGGGAGGCTCAAACTAATTTCTAGCCTCAATAAGCTCCCATGAAGTCCACTAGAAAAGTAGATTTTTTTAAACAAAGGTTAATGAAAACTCTTATGGGGTACCCACCAGAGAACACTACTTGGCTATGGGTTTAAGGCAATACAACGTCTTTATTAACCGGCTGGAGACTACATTGGCTATTCAGGATCCCACTGTATCACCAAGCCTTTCTCAGGGTGAGCATTTAAGGACAAAAACCATACCTAGGTTGACATACTTTAGTTAACAAGAACAGTTAACTGTTGTCCAGAAGCAGAACTACAGGAGCCAAAAAAAAAAAAAAAAAAAAAAAGCAAGATTAGTACATTTAGGGACCTTCCCAGAACTGTGGACTTGGATGGATTAGGTCTTTGCTTTCATTTTGGCAGGTGGTGCTGCCAACACGCTGAGTTTTAAGGCCTGAACGGTACTCCCATCATGGTGTCAGTTGTGCAGAGTACCCAACAGACTGAATGAAACACAAGGAGCCCAGGCAGGGAACACTGTACACAATGATAGGACAAAGATGAATGGACCTAACAGGAGTCTCAGGGGAAAAGAGGACAACAAGGAAACCTGTGCTATTTGGAGAAATAGTGGTCACCATATTCTCAAGAGAAAACTGCAAGCCAGACAAAAGATGTCTGAAATAAAGAAACAAAGTAACCTTCAGACAGCCATGGGGCTGATTAGCACATTGCAAACAGACTTGTTTCTTCTGGGTAGACTTTGACCAGGACAGGAGTTGTACTAAGTAGTTGCATCACAGGACAGACACTTCGCCACCTTTTGAGAAATAACCTCTGTTTTGGTTGCATACTAGCTTGGTATTTGTAAATTATGCATTTCAAAATACTATGAAGTTAATTTCTTTTTATTTTAATTATTTTTTTCTGTAATAAGTCATAAAATAGTGAGTTAAATTATAACATTTCATGCATGTGTATTTTCATGCTTGTGTATTTCCACGCATGTAGACCATTGTGCTTTGTTCATATTCACACCCCACCATACTCCCTTCCCCTTCCCCTGCTGATACCCCAACATTTTTATATATTGAAATGTAGATTTTTTATGTGACAGAAAATATGACACTGAAGTGGGTTTTTGTTGTTTCTTTTCTTTTTTATATTTCTGTGGCAGAACGAGAGTTTTGAGCTTCTTAAACTAGTTTTATTATTTGCCTTCCTTGGCCATAAAGTGCTTTTGAGGGAACATTTCTGTGTACATTCTCCATTTCTCCTTGTGGCTACCAGGAACAGGAAAGAATTTCCATAATGCAGGTGTACTCTCAAGGATTCTGTGAAGCTTACATGTCTCAGGAGATAATGATACCATGGTAGGAGACTGGGCGTGGGGTGAGCCATCAAGATTGACATATGAAATAAGCTATTTGGAAAAAAAAGAAAAACTGGAAACTCACCCATGGTTACAAAATAAAGCATGTGAGAAAAAAGGTCTGGGGAATCCTGTGGGGAAGGTGGGTGCAATGTGTAAACGGCTTGTGAATTTCATGGTGCTGAGGCAGGACTTGTCAGCCCAAGGTTTCTCTTAGCTCTGTAACCCACGTCCATTTTCCAGAGGGTCTTTCTCTTCTTTAATAAACTTCCTCTATTTCTTCCACTATCAGTGTGTTCCTGGTTCACTTCTCTGTTTCAGGATAAAAAACAAAAACAAAACAAAACAAAACAAACAAACAAACAAAAACAAACATTGGAACTCTTAACAGGTGTCCTCTGGACTCTGGTCCACACCTACAATAATACTTCACATTGATTGGTCAGACTTTTTTAAGGAACTACGGATGATTAACAGAATACTATGCAATGGCATACCCCTATATCATCTGGAACTAACTGATAACCCATTTAAAGCACAGATTTATTTAAACTATTTGGAAAGGAGACTTTAAAAACTGCTTTTGCTTTCCTTATTGTAACTGGCAGCCTCACCACCACTGTCTTAGATTACAGGAAGAGACGAGGTTCAGGGTAAATCCTATCATGATCACTGCATTAATCATTAATCAAAATGACATTTACCCAGAACGACCGTTGAACTAAAACAGAATGGTTACTCTTTATTACATTTGAACTTTGCAAACCAAATAGGAAGAAAGTTTGTTTACGTTTGGCTAATGTCCATCTGGCTGTCCTCTAGGCTAGGGACATATATTTTATATTACTTCCTTATTAAGTGTGCATGAGCAAACAGAACAAATCCTTAAAACTACTGGGGGGAGGTATAATAATAACATGCAGGCACTAATGCCTCATGGTCTTCTAGCTAGTCCAGCATGCTCCAGTCTTTTTATTTATTTACTTGTTTTGTCAGATAGAGCTAGCTTGCCTGGGAGACAAAATCTTTCTTGTTGAGCACATTCTAGAAGTGCCAAGGGAAATCTTCATGGTTGAAGATATGTTCTACTATGTATCTGACATGAAGCAAAGGATGCAGGGAATTATGAGAACTCTTCCTCAACTGTCAGACCAAACCTGAATAGCAACCCAAACCTCTGTGTATTCAGAAGTAATAGCAAACTGAGCCTTCTAATGCCTGTGACAAGCCACAGTCAGCAATACTCGAGATACTCCATACCTAGGTAATTTCCATCTCTGTGCAAATCCTTTTATTATTCCACATGGGCTTATCGTTTCCTGCCATTTGAACTTAATGATATATTAGAGAGGGCTGCATTCTAAGATCAGGGACTGGAGGCTGCCTCAGTGTGTGTTAATAAAGGAGAGGGCCAAAATAAGAAAAGTCAGAAAAGGGGAGCTATAGAGGAAGAACTTTGGGTGGGGGGAAGAAAGGAAGTGAAGAAGTGACAGCTACCAAACAAGCAAACAAACAAACAAAATGATGCATAGCAACCCGGGACTCTCTTCTTAGGAAACAGCCAGAGCCTGGTCCCACATGGCAAACACTGCCCCGCCTTTCCCTCTTCATCAGGAAGAAGGAAGAAGTGACTAGGAGTCTGGGAGCCGCTTGTCATTTCTGCTTGGCTCCTCAGGTGGGTTGACTCTAATTCCAGCATCAAGGCACTAGATGAGGGAGGTGGCCCAAAAGGGCAAGCACCCAGTGTACTCAGAACTGGAGAAGCAGTTCTCATTAACAGAAACTGAAACATGAGACTGAACCCAGGCAGAGAAGCAGAAACTGATCCCCAGAAGAATTTGCACAAGTTCTAGATGATGGGTTATGGAAATCTGAAATCCAATGCCCACACAATCACCCTCCTCTGTCACCATCAGGACCAAGTAATCAGACCACAAGAAGAGAGCAAAGTTGGACAGGAT